GTTCTGGGGAAGAGGCCCAATGCGGACTTGCCAGGTGGCCCTAGCACAGGGGTGGGCAAACTTTTTGACTCGAGGGCCACAGTGGGTTCTTAAACTGGACCGGAGGGCCAGAACAAAAGCATGGATGGAGTGTTTGTGTGAACTAATATAAATTCAAAGTAAACATCATTACATAAAAGAGTACAGTCTTTTTTTTTTTTAGTTTTATTCATTTCAAACGGGCCGAATCCGGCCCGCGGGCCATAGTTTGCCCACGGCTGCTAGCATCTCATCTAGTGAACATTTGGTCTGACCGCGTTGTTTCCAATCATGTTTAACAGACTGGTCTTGCTTTCTCACGGTGTCCTTGGAGGCTAGTGATGGTTATGAGCATGAGCTCTGCTTTCCAATCCCAGCTCTGCCACCGCACTCCTCACAACAGGGATTTCATCGCAGACCCACCATGTAACGTTAGCTCAGATCCATGCACCCATGCGTTTGCTGGGCCTGGACTACGCTGTTTCCAAACTATGCCAAGCTTGACAATACACAGCTCCAAAGAAAGCCAATAACCCTAACCTACTGTGAGCTTTGGCATTTTACTAAAACTTTATAGGATCAGGAGGAAGTGCTAGGCACATCAGCCTTGGGCAAACTACGGCCCGCGGGCCGTGCGCGGGCCGGATCCGGCCCGTTTGAAATGAATAAAACTAAAAAAAAAAAAAGACTGTACTCTTTTATGTAATGATGTTTACTTTGAATTTATATTAGTTCACACAAACACTCCATCCATGCCTTTGTTCCGACCCTCCGGTCCAGTTTAAGAACCCATTGTGGCCCTCGAGTCAAAAAGTTTGCCCACCCAGGGTATAGACAGACCATTTCACTTGAAAAGAGCTCTCATTAGATACCTCTTAGGAAATCCCCACCCCGCCAAGTCTCCCAGGAAAAGTTATCAAAAGGAGTTCTCCATCTTTCCACCTCCCTTCATCCAGCCTCCCCTCCACCCCAGGATTGTCCCTCCCTTTCCCCACCCTCCCTTCCTCGTTCCTTTCCTAATCTCTCAACCCTTTTTCTTTCAGATCATTTGTGCAGAACTAAATCCAGGAACTCAGCAAGCAACCCAGGCTAGCACTCTTTCTCCGAAAAGACTGGCAGGGCATAGCTCCTACATAATAATCACACAGGCTTCCCCCTGGGGTGCCGGTGTTGGAGTCCTTGATGCAGACCCACCAGTGATGGGGGGGAACCAGAGGTTAGGGACACAGACCCTGACAGGGTCAGAGATCCCACTGGCCACTGGGATCTTGAGCGAATCACATCTCTGCACCTCAGTTTCTCCAACTGTAAAACAAACACTACATTCATTAAAGAACTGTGACCACTTCCAGGTTTCACATTCAATGGTTTGCGGTCACTATCTTGCAAAACCGAAAAATTATAACTGAGGTATGACTCATGCTCAGTGGTCCTAAAGTCTCTCAGAACCTTGATTAACTCAGTCACCATGTTATTTTTTAAGCTCCCATCCTGCAAAAACTTTCTACAATTTGAAGAAAGCTTTGTTTCCGCTGCAGACTCTGTCCAGGTTTTATGGATGCAGGCACCTTCCCCTCAGGGAGCACTGAGAAAACACTGAGTGCTTTTGTGGAGGGAGGGCTGCTTTTGCGTCTCTCATCCTTTTCAATGGGCAAACAGAAATGCCACTGACACCCTGGTCACAGATTAGACATTACACCGTCACTCGACTTTCACTTTCAGTTCTTCCAATGTTCCCACCCAAGCACCAAATCGATTCCCAGAAATTGTCACAAAGGGGAGAGAAATTGTGGCAGAACATCAAACTCTGCTTGCTTGTGACTTGTTTGCTTAATTCCCTATGAAGTAATCCAGATAGTAAAACATAAATAAATAAAATCTGCCCAAAGCTGTGTCCTAGAAGACTGAGAGACATGAGCGTCAACGCCTGTACACGCCGTCCCGTCTTAGCTTGCTTTGTCAATGCTCTGATTCTCTGGAAAAAGGTTATCAATCCCCAAAGCCATAAAGCTTCTAACGAGGATAAATAGTGGTAAAAAGTTTTAGCCCATGAAAAACAGTCCTCCGTTGTCTGACCTCCCCTCTTAATTGATCTTAATGGGCGATTTTAAATGAAGGGGGAAGAAAAAGCATAGCACTAACACATGGTAATTATCTGTAATTCTCCATTGGTAACGTTGCTGAATGGGGAGAATAATGCAAATGTGGGCAGATGCTGACTAGAGCTTTACAAAGACATTGAAATTAGGGTTATTTTGTACAGTAAGTAACATATGACTAACGTGTAGCTTTTCCAGGGCAGATTTTCATCCCTGGAAATGACAATATGCATCACAGATTGCTGGGAAGGGTAATGAGATGAATTTTCCATGAGGCACGACCCGTGGGAACAGGCAGGGGTGGAGATGTTTAACATTGTGTCCTAAAAGCTGATCGGTGTGGCAGGGACTCGTTTAGCTGCTAATATTTGATGTAAAATTCGGCGATTCTACATTAGCTTTAAGGTGAGATGAGAAATAGACTCCCCAGCCTCCTAGATAGGTTTTCTGGCAACTTGAAAAAAAAAAAAAAAGACTATAACCCTACCATTTTTAGAGGTACTTTAAAATCAAGTGTTATTTTACAGATGAAAGAAAGAAAAACCCAGAGGTTTCACAGCTGTTAGCAAAGCCCACAGGGCTCAGGTGTGGTGGTGGGGGGCCGGGGGGGTGAAGGAGCCTGGGAAGACCTCTGCTCTCTGCCTTACTGATAATTTCATTTTACCTCCAGGAATCAACATTTCCCTTTATTCTTCTTGACATCAGTACGTAACCTTTCAGAATTTACTGTGTGCCCCAAAGGGACCTGTGAGCTAAGGTTACTAAAATAATTAAGACAAACTTAGCATAGTGAGATTAATCATCCAATGCCTCAGCAATGAGACAAATCATCACATTTTTAAAATTTCATGAATCTTCAGTCCAGAAATGTGAGTGATCTGTGGGCTTTGTACTCATGTGTGAGGGAGTGATGTGCACGCTGAGCACCAAGCAGCACCTAGTGACCCAGGAGCATCAACCGAAAAGGACAGTGTTGGGTTCAGAGGTGAAGATGGACCAGGAAGAAAGATGGGAGCCCAAGTTACCAATGGGTAACATAAAAGGGGAAAATGACACGACCATTGGTAAACGGGGACTGAAGTATCAGCTTTAGGTCAAGGATCCTAGCCCTGCCTGGAGCAATGGCCCGGTGGAAACTCCCAATGACTTTGCACAGGCTCACCACACAGCTGTGTTTGCAATGTTGGTTAATAATCACCAGCCCTAGGACCCATGTGCTTTTGCTTCAACAAATGATAAGACAACTGAAACGAGAAAAAAGGTGAATCAACTTGTATTTATTTTTATTTTAGTTCTCTTGAAAGTTACTCAAATTAAAAACAGTGCATCTTTGATCTATTCTGGTGGAAAATAAGTTGGGAAAGAAAAGCTAAAAATACTTAAATTATAGCGAACTTTAATTTACATGATGTCTTTTGGCATTGACGGTTCGGAACCCCATTGAAATCCGACAGTGAACTGACCTATTCAGCGCTTCAGAAAATGCCTGGTGGTTATAAATACAAGGAGCGTTCAGCACGCAGAGGGAGGTGAGCGCTAGGGACTTCCAATCCCAAACTTACTACTGGCCACAGTCCAAATCCTGCCAATCAACAGAAGCAAGGAGACACAAAAACAGCCTGTCTTTTTCCGGACAAAATTTCTTTTTATTTCAGGCACTTAAATAAGAACCATGCAAGTTCGCTCTGGAGTAGACACAACATTCTTAGGGCAGGATGAGCAAACTTCGGAGTCGGATGGAGAATGAAACCATTTGAGAAGTGGGAGAACCACAGAACTCACAGCACTGAAGGGGTCAGGATGCCCCGCTTGGCAGGTTCTCATTCCTCATTCACTCAAAGGTGGGGGAGGGAGGGTACGGTGTTTCACCAGGTAATTTACTAATGAAAAACATTTTTCAACATCCTTAAAGAAAAACACTCAGATGATACTAACCGATTTTGGAGAATGCATTCCTCATGGGGATATTTCCACTGTCAAACCCAACACACCAGGAGCATGAAAGTTAATGTACACATTCATATATACAAGGATGGCACTCTATGTATTTAGGTAATTCTCAGAGTACATTCCCGTAAAGACAATCTGATTCTTTCTACAGAAGGAAACTGTCCATGTTTAACCTCAACAATTTATTGCTATTTTACCAGGAATATTTTTCTCTTGTAAATTTAAATTATTGAGAGCTACTAAGTCAAATTAAGCTTGTTGAAATTTTTCAAATTTGCTTTTACTCATCATTTTTCTCCCTATTAGATAAAATGCCTATGAAACCAACTGGTAATCATGTTAACTTACTGTTTACACAAGGACATCACATTCAAAACTTAAGTTTTATTTCTAAGTTCTTCACCAAAATGAATATATTGTTTTTGTGTTACTACTTGCGTACATAAGTAGTTATAAATGCAAGGCCAACCCCTGTTAGCAATATTAACATTGTGTCCTAAAAGCTGATCAGTGTGGCAAGGACTTGTTTAGCTGCTAATATTTAATATATTTAATATTAAAGTCGTGATTCAAAATGAGATTTTAAGAAGAATCTTTGAGTTCTCCAAGGCTTCATCATTACCAGTCCTTTTGCTAATAACAGGAAAACTACCACTGATACTATTTTACCACGCTATATTCAATCCTAACCACAACCTTCTATTCCCATTTTAGACAAGTGAACAGTTCAGCTCAGAAGAGTTAACCAAGTTGGCCAACATTACAAAATGAAAGCGGATACAGGATCCAAAGCCATGTCTTTTTGGCTCTAAATCCCGACCTCTTTCCTTCTCGAGTTGTGACTGCACCCAAACCCCCGATCAAATGAAACTATTAAACTATGCAACTCAAAATGTCAAGTCATACAGACATGCCACACAGGCTATTTCATACCTTTAATCCTCTGAGACTTCCTGGGCTAGTTGGAGAGGAACTGGAGGATTTCGTAGATTTAGGGGTGGAGAGCTGGCTGCTGGGAGTTCCATTAACTGACAGGAGACACAAAGGTGAGAGAGGTCATTGAAAACTCCAGACAACCAGACCGTGTCCAAACACTAAGCACATGCATGAAGCTTCCATTCATTTAAAGCTCAAAGCAGATGGCAAATCAGCAAAAAGCAAACGCAACGCATCGTACTGTATTGCAGACAAAGTAGTAGACAAATAAGGAGTGGAGCTAGGATTATTTTCAATAATAGCTTTCCAACGGTGACACAGACAAAGATATAGAACATTATGGAACTAGAGATGAGACTTGAGAACTTGCCCATATATCCTGCCTACCAGCAAGGGTAGGGATGAATGACTGTTATCTTTGCAATGGTTTCCTATGAAGATTGTCTCGTAACCCCCAATATCTGCTATCTTGATATATATGTCTCAGCCTGAATAACCAAGACTTTCTATGGCTCTCCCAAATCAGTTCCACCATAATCCAAACACATTTTCTAAATGCATTATTAATGGAAAAAGAAAATTAATGGTCATTTTCCTTGTAACATCTACTTATTTGTTTGAAGGCCATACAAAAACATTCTTCAACTTTCTTTTTATCTAGACTAGTTATTTCTAATTCATTTTCTTTTCTTCGCAGATTAACTTCCCCTCATTTAGCACATTTGATGTTTAGTTTTTTTTTATACATCCTCCTCCAAACTTCCACATACTTCTCAGGCTTGAAGTTCAATTCAGAGCCTACGCTTGGAAGAGTGAGGCCACTGCTGCTACAGGGGAAGGCAGGTCGCAGAGTCTACACTACAGAATGCTCACCACACAGTTCCATGTGACTCATGCTTATTCCTAATTGATTCCCCTGGATCTATGTCTGCTGTAATTTCACAGCTGGTAGTTAACATCAAATATTGGTGTAATTTTTTTTCTTTTCTAAGGAGTATTTATAACCCCTTTTATCATGAATCTTTGATGCTTTTGCCCAATGTAGATCAAAACGGCCATTCATCTCCATGGAAAGCAAAGCAAAGTGCATCTCCTTTTCTTTTTTTAACATGAGAAAGCAGACACCTATTATTTTAAATGATGCTAATAAGTATAAAAAGCAAAATGCAGTCATAAAGGTCCTGACTAGGTGATTTAAAAAGGTGAACACCAGCACTAGCTGATTTGGCTCAGTGGATAGAGTGTCAGCCTGAAGACAGAAGGGTCTTGGGTTCAATTCCTGTCAAGGGCACATGCCTGGGTTGTGGGCTCTATCCCCAGTAGGGGGCGTGAAGGAGGCAGCCAATCAATGATTTTTTTCACATCACTGATGTCTCCCTCTCCTTCTCCCTTCTTCTCTAAATCAATAAAATATATATTTACAAAAAACAAACAACCAATCAGATATAACAAACACAATTTAAAAAAAAAAAGATGAGTATGAGTCCTTGCGTGGAGGTAGAAGTCCTGGGTCTGGTATTTGGGATTAGATAAATCCTATGTCCACAAGGGTTGATAGGGACCCATGAAGTCATGCTTCATATGGCTCATTTTAAAAATTCAGTGAAGACCTGGCTGGGTGGCTCAGTTGGTTGGAGGGTCATCCGTAGTTATGTGCCCTGACTGAAGGGTTGAGGGTTTGATCCCCAGTCAGGGCACATAACTAGGTTGTGGGTTCAATCTCTAGTTGGGGCATATACAGTAGGCAACCAATCAATATTTCTCTCTCATATAGATGACTGGATTAAAAAAATTCTGTGAAAATGAAAAATTGTATTATTTACTTTTGAATTACCAAACTTTAACTTTTTTCAAATTTAAAACTACTCAAAATAATTATCAGTTATCTACATTTTCTTAATAAATGTATGTGGGTATATAGAGTGCAAGTACAAAACACGTAACTATCCAATTAATTAAAAACTTTTGAATATTTACCAGCCCTGATTTTTTGCCAATTAAGTTAAATTTCAATTAATGTTATATCTTTTTAAAATTCTCTTTAAAGGAAACTGGTGGCAGGAATTCAGATAAAATAGAGATGATTATGGACAACGAACTAGTCAAGTTGCTGTGAGCCTAGATCTTTTTTCCTACATACCACACAGCAATCTGCATCGGCCACCAGTTCCTACTCAGTAAGAGCTGTTAGCCCTCAGTAATATTCAGACACTACACTAATATCAAAGCTTTCCTTGGAATGGAGATAGAAAAGGGACTAAAGGAGAAAAAATAAATTCCTGCCAATGGTGATATGTGTAGCAGATCAATCTCCCTAACAGTACACCCCCGGCCTAAACAGGGTTTCTTAACGAAACTCACTGCCAGGGTTTAACTGCTGTCAGTACCGACATGTCCACGTTTCCCCCCAAATAATTCTCATCCTAAAGAGACACTGTCACATGAAGCCTCTAAATTCCCAATAGCATTTGGGAGGTTCTAAACATGTTCTCTAATGAGCAGTCCTTAGTATCATTTGCTTGCACATCTGTCCAGTCTTTGGGAGGGGAAGTGGGACGTGGAGCAGGGCTCCACGGTGCCTTCTCCCTACACTGCCGCCGCCCACTGGGAGGTGCACAAGGACCAGCGGCATTGCGATGCTCCCACACCTTCATTACGCCCCTGATTCTCTCCCAAAGTGAGGCTTCTATCCGCCCCTTCCTCAACTTCAGGTAAGAAATAAACTTGGGGACTTTACTGTTTGCTTGTTTTCTCTGAATACTTTCAAAAATATTGGTCAATTATGAAAGCATCACAAGCTAGAAACCTAAAGGGAGAATTATGGAGGCTCCAATTAAGGTAACTATTACGCACTTATGTTTTCCAGATTAATTTCTATGTGCTTCTTACACACTATTTTGCTATTACAATAAATTGGAGTTTGGATGAGGAATGCAGTCAACCACAACACTCATGGGAATATTTCTGTCCCAAGATTGAAAAAGTACAATATTATTTTTACAAAGTCACTAGCTCTGTTTGAAATTCCAAGGAGTCCCCTGGAGTTTTTTAAATGGTTAAGAGGTAGGCCACAGTTGAAGCAGTCTATAAAAGCAAGTTATACTTCTGGGTACTGTGGCTTTTAAAATATAAAACTCTTTCCTTGCTGGAAGTGGGGAAGAGAACACAATATTAGTAAATATAGACCTATTTGATGGTCAGTTTATTTTGTTCATGAGATTCCACATATAAGTAAGATCATGTGATGATTTTTCTTTCTCTGACTGATTGGCTTATTTCATGTAACATAATAATCTCCAGGTCCAGCACTGTGACATTTTTTTGAGTTAATAAAGCTATTGTAATAATCACAACTTGCATACCTTTCTCCTTACGAACAACGGTAAACCTACTTTTGCCCATCCCCACTTAGCAACTTTCTTCAGAATCACAGTGAAGTCCCAGCAACTGACTGGGGTCTCAGCTTTCTAGAACTGCATTGTGTGGTGAGGTTGATCTCTTAGAAAGAAGCTGCTTGCTCTCTGAAAGGTGATTTTAAAATCTCACACCTGCCCTGCCGGCGTGGCTCAGTGGTTGAGCATCGACCTATAAACCAGGAAGTCACGGTTCAATTCCACAGTCAGGGCACATGCTTGGGTTGCAGGCTTGATCCCCAGTGTGGGGTGTGCAGGATTCTCTCTCATCATTGATGTTTCTCTCTTTCTCTCCCCTCTCTCTTCCTCTCTGAGATCAATAAAAATGTATTTTAAAAAAATCTCACACCGTTTACTTATGTAAGATCTATTCTATTAACCCAAATCTAAACACGGACTCAGTTAAAAATTGGGGGTACTGGAATGTGATGATTGTTGAATCAATTACTAAGCATTCCAAATTCAATTCAATGTAAAAAGATGTATGTATTTATTAGACTATTAGAGGCCTGGTGCATGGATTCATGCACCTGTGGGGTCCCTCGGCCTGGCTTGCACCCTTTTGCAATCCGGGACCCCATCAGTGCAAGATTGGGGCCAGACAGGGCTCCAGGGTGTATCTGGCCTATTTCACCCAGTCCCAATTGGGGCCGATGGGGCTGGTCAGATGGGAAGGGGCCACAGGAGGTTGGCCAGCTGGGGAGGGATCAAGGGAGGGTTCCAGGGTGTGTCCGGCCCGTCTCGCCCAGTTCTGATTGATAGGCCGAACCCTATCAGCAAGCTAACCTACTGGTTGGATCATCTGCCCCCTGGTGGTCAGTGTGCATCATAGCTACTTTCAATCGGTCAACTGGTCAAATGGTCGACCGGGTGCTTAGGTTTTTATATATATATATATAGATGTTATGAAGCAGTTGGTCTGAAAGACAAATGTGGATATGAATCATGCTTTCAGTTCAGTATGTTAATTTCCCTCTTTCAACCTCAGGGAGACAAAACTGGAATCATCATAATACCTGATTCTTGAAACACTCGCTCCACTTTTATTTGTTATTTTACTAAATAACAAACGACCAGCAACAATCAGCGGCATTGCGATGCTCCCACACCTTCATTACGTCCCTGCTTCTCTCCCAAAGTGAGGCTTCTATTCCCCGCTCCCTCAACTTCAGGTAAGAAATAAACTTGGAGACTTTACTTTTTGCTTGTTTTCTCTGAATACTTTCAAAAATATTGGTCAATTATGAAAGCATCACAAGCTAGAAACCTAAAGGGAGAATTATGAAGGCCGTAACCCTATCACTAAACGAAAGCTAAGAAGCTGACAAAATCTACATCTTCCATAAGATAAGCTCAGTTCAGTGCATTTATGCAAATTTCCTACTATGTTAGCTTTCCCAGTGTGAGATACTTACAGAAAGCACTGTATAAGCTTAACAGCAGAAAGGTGCTTTCAGTTAAAAATACTCATATTTGTCTACACTTTTCAGAAGAGAAAGAAAGCATTGAGCCTATTAAGCTCAAGGTAGGCATGAAGGTGACAATAGAATAGTACAATTGTGTCTGTGGCCATTTTCACACTACCAACAAACTTCAGTCTTTTTCAATAGAATATTTTCCAAATTTGACTAGCAACTAACTCCTCCATCGCTTAGGACTGTGACTACACACAGATAGGCACTTGGCGACCCACCACTTCCACAAGGCCCTCCCCATGTTTACATCTGTAAATCAAAAGCTAAACATACTTCTAAATATTGGTTGAAAACGGAAGTCAGAATGAAAAACTCAAAGGATTCAGTACAGAACAAAACTAAAAGCTCCCCAGCAGCCTCCCTCCCGAGCGCCCTCTGCCTGTGCTGGCACCTTCGCGATGCTTTTCTTAGTCAAATCATGACAATATTTCCTTCGCTATATGCCCTTGTGAAGGAGAACCAGACAACAACCGGTTCTCCTGTAGGTAAGGGAGGCTGAAGCGCCCTCCGTACTGTGAAGCATTGCGTACTGCACAGAGGCACACTGGGACCAGCCAGATACAGTCATGGAAATGGAGCAAAGGAAACAGAAACGTGGCAAACAACAACAACAGAAACTCAGCTGAGTGACAAAGCCATACTAACCATGGCTCACCTGGGGATTTGGCTGTAGAGTAGGCACTGGAGTAGGGGCCACCCCTCTTTACTGTGCACATTCAGTATACACAGAGGAAGAGGAGGAGACAGTAAGGAGAGTGGTTATTCAGCAGGTTTAAACTTGCACACAAACAGAAGGGTGAACCAACCTAGCCCAGAGAAAGTGGGGTGGGTGCTGAAGGGGGAAGCAGTGAACAGGAAAATGGCCCCCAAATGCAGTATTTTATAAAAATTGGATGCTTGAGACAGTTGTTGATTCTACTTTCACATGTTCTAGATTGCCACATGAAATCATGGTTTTTCACAAGCCTTTCCCAAGGGTGGGTAATGTCCGGCCCACGGGACGCATAAGGCCCGAGAAATCATTTGACCTGGCCCTGCCAAGGTATTAAGGGTGAGCTCATTGAAATGTCTGAACAAATATAGCAGGCTTATTTTTAAGTTTATAATTTTATATGGCCTGAGAATTACATTATAAAGATCCAAATGGCCCTTGGCAGAAAAAAAGATTCCCTGCTCCTGGCAATATCAGCTAAGTTATTCATGATTATACTATAAACAAAGCTTGTAGGATTGATACATCAAGATGTTTATGGACATTTTATACTTTTTAAATGCCAAAAGGCTCAAAATGATGACAAATCTATAGGCACGGGGCCGAGAGAAGCTGAAGTACAGTTAAGTCTGACTCTTAGTAAGTAAAGCACTTCTTTCCAAGAAAAATCGTGGCTCCTATTAAATTGGCTGATGAAGGAAAAGCCTGTGGAAACCTATCGAGTAAATACGTTGTTATGCTAGGTGTGTGTGTGTGTAAGGTTTAAATTGGCAAGAGAAGAAAATGTCCACAACTATATAGCACAACAGTTAAAATGCAAATATGGACAAATGTGAAACTTCCACATACATATCAAGGAGTAGACCTGAGCTAATAAGGTTGTTCTAAAAAAAATGTGTCAGAACAAAACAAGCCAGTTTCTTAGACAACTTACTACAACTTTGAGAAACAGACTTCAACTTTTGGTTTTAAAAATCATGTCATCTACATGCTGTTCTGGAACCTGGCTGCATACAAGCAGTGGAAAGACCAAGGATTCATAATCATTGAGGAAAACAAAAGGACAGTGAGATGCTGCTCCTGTGGCCACCATTCCTCTCCCATTCACTACCTGAGGCTGGTGACTTGCTGCGACGAGAGGGCCCAGGGCTCTTGGATCCAGAGTACTTAGCTGAGGAGCGAGAATACGATGACTTCAAGACACGGCATTCTAGAAAGGAAGCAAAGTGCATTAAATAGATCTGGTGTTAACACTAGCCAGAGGAAGGTCACATGGGAAAGCAGTTGCCTGCCTGGAACCATTACCTGATCATTTTTTTATTACCATCTGAAAAGTACACCTTGAGGCTACACATCTATAACATCACCTCATTATTCCAGATGGGCACAGACAGCCCAGTATCCTAACTTGATACACACACAAATCCTAATCTAAACATGTGCAACGGTGTTTAGACCGCAGCATGGACAGGCAGAAGCTACACTTTTATTATTCTTTCCAAATCTTGAACATATGTCGAAAGGGTATGCAGAACCCTAATTTATGAACCCCTTCCTGTCCCATCTTTCCAATGTGTGGAGCACGAAACTGGAGGAAACTAAACAGTAACTTTGGTCTTCCCATAAAGAGCCAAATAACGTGTAAGGTATTAGAGCTAAAGTAAGCAGTTCTAATTGGAATAATTAAGAACATGGCTTTTACATTCATGGCAGATTTTGGATGAAGCATGGATTTGACTTGGTCAACTAGGGGACTTTGGTTACACTCTAAACCTCATTTTTTCCCCCTGGAAATGGCATAAAAATAAAATCAGCATCACAGGATTGTTCTAAGGATTAAATCAGATAACATACTGTCTGTAATTTACATTGAAATATTTCAATTTATGTAAGATGATTGAAATGTGGGTTAGCTTTAATGGATACCACAGGGGCAATAAATTAACATGTGAAATACACTAATCAGGCAAATACACACCAGAGGACAATGGGTAGCATTTGCAAGATTCCAATCAAAACCTCGCAGGGAGGGGGTGTAGCAATTTCAGCTCAGTTAATCAGCATTATGGATGTTACTCAGTATTCCACCATCGAAGGGAGTGGTGTGTGAATGAGTTTGAAACACCTTTAAGGCACTGCCACTCTTATGAGCAGGATATCTAAACCTACAGAACCAGTATGAGAAGCTCAGAACTACAGCCCAGGATTAGGAATCTGAGTCCTGCTTCCAGCTCTGAGGGTTGTGTTGCTTGACTAACACTAGGTTAACTGATGTTAATGCAAGACTTTCTCAGGAATCCAAAAGGACTAACAGTTGGGACTTCATCAAGATTACAACCCAAGTTAAATGACTGACTTTGAAAAAAAAACGTTGCCTCCTAATAAGTGTACCTGTGGGAGAATTAGGTCTGAGACCTGCTTTCATTGAAAAATTTTTTAACTGATGGTGGTGGTATAACAACATGAACAACAGCATAGTACATGCTATGTAACCAAGTACCCTTCTAATTGCTTTATATGTGAACTCATTTAATCCTCATAGAATCTTGTGAAAAGGCCACTGTTATCATCCTTAGTGTGCAGAAAGTTCAGGAATTAGCCATTGAGAGGGAAGCTATCAGTAGCTTCCACTTCTCTCTAATGAGTCTATCTGTAGCTGAAACTACCAATGATCCAACTAGCTTAGGAAAGTTTACAGCATACATGTCAACGGAGTACAATGCTGGCACGTATACAGCAAGTGCTCAATACATCTTTCATTCTTGCTGTTTTTGCTGTTACCCAAATTAACTTTGTAACCTAGAGCACAACATTGAGTTTCAGTGTCTCAACTTTCAAAATGACCAAGATGGACATCAAAGAAGTACTGGGAAATGAAATTATGCTAACATCAAGAAAGATGTAAAATACAGATGACATGTAAATGCATATTTTGTGCAATCTTAATCATTCCTGAGAATCAGAGAGAACGTTACATGGGTCATAGGAAAGGACATCACCTGCAATTCTTTAAGGATTTGGCAGTCACATTAACAGTTTAAATCAGGGCCAGTCCAAAAGACTAGGTAAGACAGTACAGAAACACTCAAAGAAGTCTGGCAGCAGTGAAAGATACAACAGGAAAACAAAGAGGACATCAATGAACCACAAGCACAAGGTAGATAAATTACCCCAAGGCAACTGTGAAAGGGGGAGGACGAGGCAGAGGGGATTACATAGGAAGTTTGGTTCTACAGAATGGACCATCCTGAATTTTTAAAAGTCAATGGATTGTCGTATTTATTTGGTAATATGTTTCTCTAATTCTGGACTGTCAGAATCACTACAAATGGAAGGAGTCCCCCTGAGTCTAATTTTTGAAAAATTTGCCTCATTCATGAACTTAAAGAGTGAGATTGTATTTCTAATAACCCTCTCCTCCGTGAAATGTTATGCCTGTATGATTTTACCTTGTTACAGATGAAATTGATTTCACTGGTGGAAATAATCACTATTACTGTAATAGGTTTAAATTTAAAGCAATATTTCCAGAAACTATAAATTGGAAATAGCCAAGGTTATTGATAATTAACTGAAAACTCCATCTATTGGCTAAAATAAAAAGAACTATCCTACCCCGTCAATGAAAACTGCATTATTTTTCTACATATATAAACAATACATGTCACTGCTTTTCTAAAGTTACAAACAAAACACTAAGGTAAAAATCATTAACAACAACTTAGTTGTTATTATTTTTTGTATCTCTTTATGTACACTGGAAATGTACAACTAACTGTTTCAAGTTTAACACTATCCATACAATTAAGGTAGCACAACCAGCGTCCATCCTGAAAGAGGGCAGGAAATTCATTTCTAAGGCAAACAGTGCAGTAAAGAGATAGAACAAAATTGCTAAAAATGAAAATTACTTAACTATTGACTTGGGGTTAGTTGTGTGTGTTTGTTTTCACAACTAGGTAAATACTTTGATTTTATTCTCTACTTCCATTAATTCAAAGAGAGTGCTGCCAATGCCATCTTTCTTCAAAAATGGGCTAAGGCCCACTTAACATGCCCCAAGCACAGTGCTACATCCCAAACCCCTGTTTCAGGGTTACAGAGGTGGTCCAGGAACCGCCTTACCGCTGTGATCCAGGACAAAGTCATCTTGGGCATAACGGAATTTTTCAGGTCCACATGCAATAAAAACATCATCATCACCAAAAAAGTCTTGCAGGCAAGTAACCTAGAAAAAAAAAAATCACATCCAAGAAACAAATTAGAAATGTTAGAAGTGAAGTAAAAAGTCAGCAAAATTAAATACATTTTTTTTAGGTGGGACATGCTTTATTTATTATGAACAAAGCAGCCCAAATTAAATACATTTTTATGCCTCACTTATACTATTGAGTTGGAATGAAAAGCTGTTTGGTATCACATTTCCAAGAATTTTGTTCTTCACAAGGTGCTTTCAGAGTGTCTCCTGACCTCAGAACATCAGAATGAGGTGGTCATAGCAAGTACCAATATTCCTGTCTACCCATGAGGTCAAGGACGCACACACAAGGTAGAGCAATGTTTTCCAGGTTTCTGATTAATGGGCAGCAAAGCTGGGGTGGATGGGTGTCTCTGCTCTTGGTTTAGTCTCTTTACTACCTACCCTTCCTCACTCTCCCAGCAGCTCTGCCTCCTAGCATGGCACCCTGGCCATGACTCTCTGTACCTCCAGTAGAGTGAACCTTTGGGTATTTGGGGGATTCATGTATGAAAACTGCTTGGAAAGGTACAGGATTCCCCCTTTATCTGTGGGGGGCAGGGGGGCGGAGTACATTTCAAGACCCCTCAGTGGATGCCTGTAACTTTGGATCAGGGGTCCTCAAACTGCGGCCGGCGGGTGTTTTTGCCACCGCTGTGTGCATAGGAATTTGTTCATAGTTGTTTTTTTTAAACTATAGTCCGGCCCTCCAACGGTCTGAGGGACAGTGAACTGAACCCCTGTTTAAAAAGTTTGAGGACCCCTGCTTGGATTGTAGTACTAAACTCTATACATACACACCCTTTCACTTAAAGGAAGCGCTATTCCTTCTCTTTGGCATATCTGAATTGGCAGCATCACTACTTTCATGCCTTGGGTCATGATTAAATAAAACGAGGGTGACCTGAACACAGCACTGCGATACCAGGACAGTAACGGGGTCCCTAAATCCCAGTCACTGCTCCCCTAGTTTCAGTCAGCACTGTTCTCACAGGTGTGGAAAGAAAGATTGCAATGTTATGTTCTATCTCAAAGGTACCAGGGCGACCACACACCACTGCGGGGCTTCCTTCATTGATAAGACGATGCTCCTTCTTAGGGTATCTAGGAGGGACCCACCAGACCCCTCCTCCCGCCCCCCACTCTTGACTTTGCCATTTCTCCTGCATCATTACTTCCACCATTACTTCCGCCTCAGCCACATCAACACTACCTTGCGTTCCCTATCTGCACAGTGCTGGTGTTTCTTTTTGTGAAACAGTTTTATTGAGACATAATTCACGTACCATACAATTTAAAGTATACAACGTGCTGGTTTTAGTATATTCAGAGTTCTCAACCATCACCACAACCTTTTAGAGTATTTTCATCGCCTAAAAGGCAATCCCATGTCCATTAACAGTCACTCTCCAGGCCTCCCTCTCCTCATCCCTAGGCAGCCATAAAATATTTTCTGTCTATGGATTTGCCTACTTCAGACATTTCCTATGAATGAAACCATACAACATATGGCATTTTGCAACTGGTTTCTTTCACATAGCGTGTATACAACCTTTTAGACTATTTTCATCACCTAAAAGGCAATCCCATGTCCATTAACAGTCACTCTCCAGGCCTCCCTCTCCTCATCCCTAGGCACCCATAAAATATTTTCTGTCTATGGATTTGCCTACTTCAGACATTTCCTATGAATGAAACCATACAACATATGGCATTTTGCAACTGGTTTCTTTCACATAGCGTGTATACAAGTTGGAACACATATCAGTACTTCATTCCTTTCTATGGCTGAATGAATAAATACTCGGTTACATGCATATACAGCATTGTGTTTATCCAGTCCTGTTTATGGATGACATTTGGGTCACGTCTACCTCAGTGCTGGCTCTTGCCACTGTATTTCTGCTCCTGCTGATCCTCAGCCAGAGTTGCCTTTCTGACCACCCTTTAGTGCCATGACCTCCAGATGGGCACATATACTTCCGGGTCATCATTTCCTAGGCTCTAGGAGAGTGCTAGCTTTGCTGAATGCTCAATACATTTTTGTTGATGGAACTGTGGCTTGGTATGGAGTTGTTCCTATTGGAATTGAGTTCACAGACACAGAAACTTCTCTCGGGTGGGTGGTGCCACCGATGCCATCTACTTTGCCATCTCCACCACCATGTAATACACTTATTTCCTGTGGTTGAATTTCACACGTATATGGGACAAGATGTTTCATTATTGCTAGCAATGCCCCAAACTCAGTTGATACTTTTTAAAGTGAAAACATCTAATAAAATGCCGAGGTCTAAATGTAAGTTAACTCTCTCTCCCCAATAGGAGCCACATTAATTAACTGCTGTATATGCATTCTAACTTTGATCAAGTACCAGCTATATGCCAGGCATAAACAGAAGACAAGAAGCACATAGTCTAGTCATGGAGATGGACAAGAAAATTAATAATTACAGTGCAAAATGTTACACTAGGAGGATGCTGTAATAGAACATTTGCTATGAAATATGGAAGTGCAAAGAACAAATAACAGTGAAAATAGCATCCCATAAAATAAAATATTCAATAGCTAAGACTGGGGAGGGGGGTGTGGGGGGGGCAGGGAAAGCCAGGGGAAGGTCAATGGGGGAAAAAAGGAGACATATGTACTACTATTTGTAATACTTTAAACAAGAAAAAAAATAAAAAATAAATAGCTAAGACTATGTCATATGTTTGGACACTCAAATAATTCTATCTTAAACCATATTTCTTGTTCTTTAACTCTGGTGGTCTGTTTGTTCCTTTTATCATAAAATTTTTAAAAAACCCAGATGTAACCTTGAGTTAGGGGCCATGTCACTACATCTGACTCGGAAAAAAAATAGCAATACCATGAATAATATCTCAAAGTCATTTTTAACAAGGGTAAGGAAAAGGGTATCAGTTTAGAAGACCTCCTGTTTGCTTTTAATTCCTTCTTCAATGCAAGAAGCTCTTCAGGGATAATGGGTGCTATGTGGCTTATAAGAGAAAGCTACACAAATGAGGGGAAAGTAATATTTCTGCTAAGGTACGAAATTAAAGCAATCAGTTGTATCTAATGGGAGACGTCCAACTGAGAAATAATGTATCTATGGGAGCATATCTAAGCTCTCCAAATGAATGTGGGCCATTTAAAAACAGTAATTTTTCGGTCCTTCAGTAGACAGATTAATTAGGTCAAGGGGAATAGGTGGCAGCCATAATTTCAGTGCTAGTTCTAAACAGATTGCCACAACCACTTTTCTTTTTCTTTCC